CATCTGTCTTGGATTTAATGCGACATGACCGTTCAAACAGCAGTCGCTTTCTAAAACATCGGATATGTATCGGATTCAGGACCACATACGAAAGTGACCCAGATCGGATTTGAAAATATCGGATTTGTGCCGTTCACACTGTCATACCATGATCAGATATGGGTCGCATAGGGTCAAAAAAATCGGATTTGATGCGCTTTCGCCTGCAGTGTGAACGTAGCCTAAGGTGGTTAGGATCTTCAATAGCACAAGTACACAAGTGTGACTTTGTGTGTATGTCAGGTTAGAGTTGAGTTTTACCTGTTCCTTTGTTGCGGTCCACAAAGCAGTACTTCAGTTCATATTCTTTCAGAATTTCATGGACTTCCTATAAAAAAAGTAAGGGACAATTTGGTCAAACAGAATGGTAGAAGTCATTAATGTAAAAAGAATAGAGAAAAAAAAATTCAAAACTCTTGATTATACAATAATCAAAGTAGTATCAGTAAACCACAATGATCTTAAAAAACTGTTTTGGAAAAATATCAGAATAAATGCAAACACAATGAAAGACTTAAGCAGTGAACATACAAGGGAAAGAAGGTTCTATCTTAAATGGAAAAGTAAGCTATTACATTCCAATACACAAACTGTGAGAGAAACCTTTGCATTATTAGCTTGTGACAGATGCTCATCATCTTTCTCTACAGCTATTGACTCAGATAAAGGTACATTTTTGTCATATATAATTATATAGTCTAATGTCATAATTGATACAGGGCTCAATGTTAACACAAGTTAGTTTTATCAACAACTGAAATAAACTGAAACCCCAATAAAAAAAATCTCCTTTACGCCACAAATGAAGATTTATTCTTTGCATAAGCAGAAGTAAAGCTTTTTTCATTTAATGTTGTGCTTTTCTGTTGAAATTGAAAGAATGGACACTGCACAAGAAAGCAAGAGCAAAGCTTTGAACAAAGTTGTGGAGATAATGGTACAAAACAACTAAAAATAACGCAAATTTTCAAAATAACTAAGAGCTCAGACAGCACTTACACCCTTTAAAAAAGCCTGATAATGTCAGCATGATTACTTGAAACTCACTTTTCAATCGAACAAGCTTCTCTGCAAAAATGTCTTTGATGGGAAGTTTCCATATTTGCACTGATTTGTTTTTTTAAACAGGTAATTGTTGTTTTTTGTGTTGTTCAAATGAAGAATACTAATACTGTGCTTGACATTCTTCCATCTCGCATAGCTAAGGACTGTTTTGATGTAAATGGACCTAGTATCCTATTTCTTAGGATACTAGGCTGTGTTCCTTTGACTTTTAAGCATGCTGTAGTCCACCCGATTCTTAAAAAAAGAAACTCTGACTGTTATGACCTTTCAAACTACAGACCGATCTCTAAGCTTTCGTTCTTGTCCAAGATCCTGGAGAGACTAGTTCTCTCCCAGCTCCAGGTGTACTTGGACACAAACAATATTGCTGAGAAATTTCAATCTGCCTTTAAGC